CCTAAATTAGGAAGGGTAATAACATTTAGATGTCAAGTTCAAAAGGCAACCAAAGAAACACTATTACTGCTATTTTTGCTACTTAAAACTCCTACTCTTTTATCAATCAGAGTATTAGTAATACAAAAAACTGTAAAACCTTCAGAAAAATAGCCTCCCCCAAAAACACACACACAAAAATTCAGTCCACAGTTGTCTTACCAATGATACTGTATTACTCACATGAAAGACAGTAAATCTCTCAGTTATCTTCACTCCTGTTAAAACAAAGTGGCTCAAGAGAGACAAAATGAAGTGATGTCTAATCAAAAACAACTATTGGGCAACCTCTTTCAGGTCCCTTCCCACTGTGGGAGCTTTTCTATCTTCTTAATAAATCCTCCTTTCAAAAAAAAAAACTGTTAAGTACCATGAATACACTAGAAGGGAAAACAAAAGCAGATGACCAGAGAAGATGACACTCACGAATGAGTGGCAAAGTGAAGCAATCACTCTGGGTAATGAGTCTAGGTGAGAAAAAGATAGTTCCCACCCACTTGTTGTTAAGTCTTTGAATTTGAGCATAAAAGATTGAGTACACATAAAAAGAAGCAACATCCTATTATATTTTCCTTAAATTTAAACTTCCTTATTCTCATGGAAAACAAAAACAAAATGCATGCAAGAGAGGAAGCCAAAAAGATGGAGTTGGAGGATGAAAAAAGACAAACGTTAGCATGACTTAACATATAACAAAGTTTATGAACCACTCATCTTTTTCCTTGTTAGGAGATGATGACAACAAGGGGGAAGTATCTAAATAAAGCAAAATGCTTGACAAGCATAATCTATCACTGAAAGTCCTCAAATGTATAAATGTCACTAGCAGTTGATGCTTTCTTAGTATTAACACTTATTATGCCTTTTACAGGATTACATTTATTTTGGAAACAAATCAAGTGTTAGTGTTATCTTAATAACAATTAGATGTGATGATCAAAAGCCTTCAAAGTCATTAAAAAACACTTAATCCTAAATAATATTCTTTTTAAATTGTCTTTCAATCAAGCTGTACATTGTACATTAAAGGAACCTGTGCTTGCTACCACTAGCTTTGTAGTGTTAAAATGACAAACTTTTCTTATGTGTCATGACTAATCAGTCAAACAGCACATCATTACTTTGAACCACACTCATAACAGTTTATATAACAAAACCCACTGACACGCGTTACATTTGAGTTTTTAAACTTTTGGAGACAGTCTAAAAGTATATCCATTCATTACATTATAAAATTGATAATCACAAAAAACTATTCTCTAGGTTCTATACTCATGGGGTATCGGTAGCACTAAAATATCTTTATAGCTTGTTCAACTTTCTATAGGGAAAAATTACCTAATTTGAGAACATGAAAGGCTTCTCAAAAAAAAAAAAGTATTCTCTAAAAATGAACAGCATTTCCTTTTGGTGAACACCATTCTCTGCTGTAGTTTCATTCTTTCTTCTCCTGTTCCTAAATGTGAGCCTAAATGCCCTGTCCCATCCTCCCTTCCCTTGCCTTCTGCCATAGCTCAGGTAAGAACTCCTCTGCTCCTTCTACCATTCAGAGCTGAGGATGCCATCACATTCAACAATCACTTCTATGCAAACAATACTAAATTTGTATTTCTAGTGTTGATTTCTTTGATACCTGCTTCAATTCTACAACACCTTACCGAACATCATAATCTGGGAAGCATAGTAATAAAATGGTTAAATGTACAGATGCTAGTCAGATTACCCAGGTTAAAATCCCATCTCTACCATTTATGAACTGAATAGCCTTAGAGAATTTTCTCTGTAAGACAGACACTGCTTCACTTGAAAAACAGGAATAAAAATGGAATCTACAACTCATTGGTAGGTTGCAAGAAGTAAGTTAAATAGTATCCAAGTCATGTACAGATCTTAGAACAGTGCCTATCACATAAAAGACACTCAGTGAAGATTGAATATATTCAATAACTTATTAAAATATTTAGCTGTGACTTTAAATATAGCATGTACAAAGCCAAAACATGTCATCTCTCAAACTGAACTCTCTTTCTGGAATTTCTTATTTCACTCTAGCCAGACCTTGGAGACATTTACAATGTTGAACGTGAACATTTTTCATTCTCAAGTCAACTTCTTCCTTCCTACTCTGAACACTTCTACTTTAGATGAGTATATCTGTACTTGGACTATTCTAACTCTCTCCTGACTGGATTCCTGATCTATATACTTCCTTACACCCAGCCATCCTTCACACCACAGCTACAATTACTCCTCTGAGACCAAAGGAGCAAACACAATTAGAAAGTGAATACTGGAAGAGTTTACCATTTACAACAGTACAAAGATTATAAATACTGCACAGGTAAATGAAGAACAGATTTCTTTTGTTAATGATACTAGAAAAATTCAATATCTACATTATCAGAAAAAAAGAACTAAAAGATGCACAGGAGATATTTAAAGAAAATTAAAAATCTGTAAAAAGCCAGAATAGCCCTAAATATCTTAATTCATGAGTTGGGAAATTAAAGATTTAAGATTCAAGATTCAATTCTTCCCAAAGTCATCTGAATATTCAATGTAATCAAAATCAAAAACACAACGGTATTCTTTGTTGAACTTAAAAACATTACATTTATAAATGTACAAAGAAGAGTCAAGACACTCGTAAAGAAGAACAAAAAGGTACTAGCACTATCAAATATCTCGACAATATCAGTCTATATTACTCATGACTGTGTAGAACAAGAAGCAGAATAAAGAAACAGAACAGTGGAATGCAACAGAGAATTCAGAGATAGATTCAAACAGCTATGGACATTCAACATATTGCAGAGTGAGTAATGTATACATAAAAAAAAGAATCAATTTAAAAATAACAACAATAATAATGATACTGGAACAACCAGATATCTACATGGAAAAACAAAATAAAATTGGACCCTTCCTGATATAAAAAAAAAAAAATCAATTCAAGATGGATTATTACACTTAAATGTAAAAGGTAAAACCATGAAACTTTTAGAAGAAAATATAGGAGAATATGTTAATTGCTTTAGAGTAAACAAAGACTTCTTAAACAATGAGAACATAAGACAAAAAGGAATAATTGATAATTTTTAAAACAGAATTTCTCTTCATCAAAAGATACCATTTTAAAAAGTGAAAATATAAGCCACAATTGAGAGAAGGCATACACAAAAGCATAATACCCAAGAATTAGGATACAGAATACATATAGCATATGCTCACAGATGAATAAAAAGAAAAATGGACAAAAAACCTGAAAGCTAATTTAAAAAAAAAAAAGAAAACTCCAAATGGCCAATGGACATATAAAAAGATGTTCATCCTCATTAGTTACCATGGAAATGCAAATTTAAAACATAATGCAATACCACAATCACCCACGGACTGGCATTATCCACTAAAGTTTGAATGTACACATATATGTGACACAATCATTCAATCCCAGGGTTCTATCCTAGAATAATTTTTGCATATGTACACCAGAAGCAAGTTTAAAATATTCATAGCAGCAGTGTTCATGAAAGCAAATTACTGGGAAAAACTCAAAACTCTATCAATAATAAAATGGATAAATTGTGGCAATTTCTACAAATGGCTAAAATTAGTTTACAATCATCGACATAACTATATCTAAAAAATATCAGCCGGGCTCGGTGGCTCAGCCTGTAATCCTGCGCCTTAGGGAGGCTGAGGTGAGTGGATTGCCTGAGACCACGGGTTCAAGACCCGTCTGGGCAGCGAGACCTCATCTCCACAATAAATAAAAAAAAAATCAGCCGGGCGTGGCAGCGCATGCCTGTAATTCCGGCTACTTGGAAGGCTGAGGCAGAAGGATTGCAGGAGCCCAGCAGGTCGAGGCTGCGGTAGCCAGGAGCGGCCACTGCACTCCAGTCTGGGCGACAGAGTGAGACTCCAACTCAAAAAAAATAAAAAAATAAAAATAAAAAATATCTAAATATATCTAACAGTATAACGAGGAAAAGAAGTAAATCTCAGAAGAACGCACACATACTATAAGTCCAATAAGCAATCATCAAAATAGGTCTAAGCAAAACAACATCCTCTTTAGAGATACACTTAATAGATAATAAATTTACTAATAAAAGGGAATGACTCACAAAAGTCAAGATAAAGGCTACTTCTTGGGGGATTCAATTGAAAGAGGAACACATGGCAATTTCCACTGTCTTAATGTTATATATCTTACACCTGGAGGCAGATATATAGTTTATTATTAAACTGTACATGCTTCAAAAACTCATGTGTATATATATTTCACATAAAGCCAATAAGAGAGAAAAAGAATGATTATAAAGTTAAGAAGTGGAAATTTTTAAGGAATATGGCTGGGAAGGCAAGATAGAAACAGAACAATAGCTAACAGGCTGATTAGACTTGCCCACATTTAAATACCAATGAAAAGGTACCAACAGAGTTGAAGAGACTGAAATTATGGAATTTGGAAATAATTTTTAGGTTTCTAAGAAGGTGAGTGGGGATAAGATTCAGAGTGCGTGTAATAAAAGGATACTTCTACTTTATCATGAGGGAACAAAGTAAGAGACAAGGACTTAACAAACTGTAAGTCCCTCAATAAACTGCAATTCCCTTGAAGGCCAAGCACTATAGTGCCTAGAACAGTACTAATAGGCAGGGATGGGAAAAGAGGCAAGAGCTGTGAGGCAGTTCACAAAGTATGCACTGGATCTTCTAAGAACAGCACAGGGTTAATACTTAACAAACATTCAAATCACCTATTAGAAAAGTTCTCATTAAAGTATCATTCTCCACCAGACAAATTCAAAAGAGTATAATCTTAAAAGTCCAACTTATACTATTTTTATATATATTAAATATTTTATATTGACATTAGGGATATTTTAGAAGCTTTTTTTCTGATAAGAATTCTTACTTTGATTATAAAAAATAGAAAAAAATCAACTTCCACTTACTTAATTGAGTTTCTAAAGTGGTCTTCAGCTGGGTTTTTTACAGTGCAACTGTTCAGGAGCCATAAATCTGCATCTGAAGCATTTTCTATTAATCAAAAAAGAATACAAAAAAAGAAAAGTAAGTTGCACTTTTAATCTTCCAAAAATATACAAGCCATTTACTGGGACTGCTATGGGAGGGGAGAGGAAAGCAGGGGACAGAGTCAAGTAAACAGGCAATTATGACACAGAAAGCAACTGTGATAATGTGGAAAGATTTGTGAGCAATAAATATAAAAATATATAATCTGTGCTATATCTTTTTACTCAAAATATAATGAAGATAAGAATTCTCTTTGTTTTCAATGCATGAGAGCACTATTTAATACTTTCAAAACTAATTTGAAACTGGCCCTAATATTACCTCCAATTATAAAATAATTGCCCCTATTGGCCTGTGTGTTAAAATTTTTCAGGCACAGATATTAGCATACAATGAATATTTTTCTGCTTGAGAATTATGTCACTTCCCTATTCACTCGGAAAAGATGAGTATTCACCTACCTCCTCTTAGTCCTCTCCAGATTATTCACCAAATCCCACCTCAATGGTATTCATCTACTATCAATCTGATCTTAGCACTCTTTCAATCTTCCAGTGATGTCTAGATGGTTTTCAAGACCTATCCAAAGCTAGCCACCTTCCTTCCAAACGTCAGTATTTATTTCTTCCCACATTCACCTGTCCCTCCAGTCACACTGACTCCTATTCACTCCTCAGTTTCAGCTTGAGATTTGTTGCATGCCTCTTCCCTGAACTCCCATAACAGACTGTGTACGGACTATTCTTGCACTTTCCAATTCTGTATTTAAATCATTCATGTTTTTTTCAGTCTTTCTTTATTACTATCAAAAGATGCTGAGGCCAAGTGCAATGGCGCATGCCTGTAATCCCAGCACTCTGGAAGGCTGAAGCAACAGCACTGCTTAAACCAGGAGATCAAGGTTACAGTGAGCTATGATTGTACCACTATACTCCAGCCTAGGTGACAAAGAGAAACTGTCTTAACAAAAAAGAAAAGAAAAAGGAAAAAAAAAAAAAAACCCCAGAGAGCTACTGAGGACATTTTTATCTGCTGCTTTCTGAATATCCAAGTCCTAACACAGTGATAGGCATAAAGTAGATATTCAAATCACCATGGAACACTGAACAATGTACAAGTAAGTACAGGATGAGAGGAGATTGACAGAAGGAAAGCCACCAATTTATTTAGCAAATATTTAGGGCTAAGGCTTTCATCCTCATCACAGCTACTTACCACAGTGTCTGATAACATGGTCAATAAGTGAAAAACCATGGTGACATGGATGAGGCTGTAGCAATGGCAAGAGTGAGGAGCGAACTGGGGGTACACTTTAGAGGCAACATTAGCTATGAGACGAAGGAATTGAGTAGGATTCCTAAGCACATGAAAAGAATTTTGGCCTGAGCTTCAGCTATTTGTGGTGCTATTTATTGAGATGAGGAAGATTTCAAAAGAAACACATTTGGGAAATAGAGAAACCATAGTTTTGTTGTGGCCATGCTACATTTGAGATTCCTATAAAATATCCAGCTAGAAATACTGGTCAGCCGTTTGTATATATGAAACTGAGGTTCAGGGGAGTGTTTCAAGCTGAAGGCATAAATGAAAGAATCACTGCATTTGGAAGACATTTACATTACAGAAATGGATGAGCTCACCTAAGGAGAAAGTATAGAGAAAAAAGAGAAAGAAGTAAAAGACAGAATACTGGTTCATTCAAAGGTCTGGAAGAAAAGTTAAGAACATTGAATGAAAGAAGCTTGTAAAATAGAAGACAAAAACAGTAATCACGGTATCATAGAAGTCAGAGAAGAAAGTATTTTTAAAAAGAGGGAATAATCAATTATACTAAACACTAGAAATTCAGGAAATATATTTCCATAAACGTTAATGCTGTTAACAAAACAATAAGATATTTTTAATTTTCTTCTATTTGAAGTATTTTCCTGCTCTGAGCCAATCACCTAGTAGAGACCTTTTTTATTAAGTAGCACAGACAACAAACTCACTATAAAAGAAAAGTGAGAAGGAAAACTGTATATGGCTATTAGTCAATAAATAATGATGATGCCACATGGTCTACCCTCTTATGAAAACATTTCCTGGCATCTAAGATGCCATCAACTAAAAGGAGCGCTATCAAATTTGAAAGAGCTTGTCTAGGGAGTAGAATACTACATTCATATTCTTATCAATTCCAAGATATATCCTAATCTCAAACATAAATTTAGAGAATGGAAGTAGAATAAGTAATAAATGTACTAACACACTTTGAGATGATTTGGTTAAGTTAAGAGAGGGTTATGTTAAGAGAAGGTTAACCCTTTGTGGTCTTGCCTGACTCAGAACATTCATGCCAGGTCATCCAGTGCCTTGGAAGGAGAAGCAACAGTAAAGAAATGCACGTAGGGAAAGAAGGACTAGAGAGAAGGGCAAGAATGGGTCAAGGAAGTGAAACACAGAAAGAAAGAAGGTTTAGAGGCACGGACTTAGAGAGAACCCCCCCAAAATTCTACCTACTGTGAGATTTGGCCTAGAACACTAATAACCACAGATGTGCAGCTGAAAATCATCTATACATAAGCCAAAAATTGCCAATGCCAGAGCTGAGGTATCAGGTCTAGGTTTGATCTGCAAACTTCAGGCTAGCCAGATAGAACCTAGACTTCAATATTTGGTTATTTACAGTCTTTCATTATAAATTGTGCTGCAATTAGTAGCATTGTGCATATATCATTTTTATTTTTCACAGACTACCTCTGGAATGAAGTCCAAAAAGATGGGATTACTGGGTCAGAGGATAAATGCATATAAAATTGCATTATATACTGTCAAAGTCTCCTCCATAAGGGCTGTACCACTTTGTACTCCCATGAGCAAGACAGCCTTTACGTGCACCCTTGCCCACAGAGTGTGCTATCACACCTTTGGACTTTTGATAATCTGGTGAGAAACATGATCCCAGTGAGAGGTTAATGTGCATTTCTCTTATTATCAATGAGCTGAACACCTTTTCATGTTTAGGGGCCATTGCAGGACATTTTTTGTTTTTTATTTATTCCTATGTTTTGTCTACTTTTTTTATCATTAGTAGACATTTTCATCTCAACTTTTATTAGGCTGACGCATAAGTTGGAAGCGTTTTTCCCACTTGCCCATGGAATGCAAATGTTGCACGATAGTGAACTGGTCACAGTTCATCATAATTGCCAATTCACAGGCTGAATGACGTAGATTATCACGAATTAAAGCATTTAAAGTCTTCATCAAAGCCTAATGGTCTTCCTGAACGTGGTGAGTCACTAAGACCAAAGAAGCCCTCTTTGAAATGACGAAACCATTTTCTTGCTGTGCTTTTGCTGATGGCATTCTACCCTAACACAGCACAGATGTTTTGAGTCACCTCCGCTGCCTTTAAATAGAAAACCTATGTCAGAAGTGTTTGTTTTTTTCCACTTGACACTCCACCTTCTTTAGCCCACAAATAGCACTAACTTTCTTCAAATCTGAAAATGCAAGGTGTATTCACAAGTACAACATTGTCACTCCAGATAAACAAACTCCCAACACCATAATGTTGCCATGCCAAAAACAAACACTACAAACTTATGCATTAACCTAATAATTTATTTATACACACATATACACCACAGAGGATATCACATGTCTGTGTTAGAATTTGCAATATTTTCCCAGTTTGTCATTTTACTTTTTTATAGTGTTTCTTCACAGTTTTCTATTTCTAAGATATCAAATGCATCAATCCTTTCTCTTACTATTTAGGGATATTGAGTCATAATTAGAACATTCCCTCTACTCCCAAATTACTAAAGAATTCACCATGTTTTCTTCTAATATGCATATGTTTTTGAATTTAGATATCTGATCTATTAGCAACTGATGATATGCACTGATCTCACTAAATTTTTATAATGAAATAGGATCTTATATTCTCATATTAACTTGGAAAATATTTAAAAGTACGATGCTACAAGCAAAGGAATGGGGAAACTGGCAAGCTCTTCTTTGATGATGGCAGGCTACACTGATGAAATTCTTTGGAAGGTTAAGGTAAACACAGCTATCAAAAATTTATCTAGGTGCCTGCCCACCAGCTACCCGATCTCGCATTAAAGTCTCGCTTCTGCTGCACTCCATGTTTCCGTATCAATCCTTTGATTTTGGACAGATCACACCCTGTTTGGGTACTCCTCCTAACATCTCTTCTGGGCTCCACCAACCACAGGTCCTTGTAAAGGGATGAGAGAAAAATCTGCACAAATGAAGAAAAACCAAAAGAAGAGTATAGGTCTCTCCCATACCCCTGGGAAGGCAGACACTGAGAAAACTGACTTCGGAATGCAAACAATGAAGACCCTCCAGAATGACTGGTCCCAAACTACAAACCTAGATCTTAAGACATTAATGGAGAGATTAAAAAGAATTGAGGAGACTCAAGAAGAAACTGGAAAGGAGCTGAAGTCTGAGATAAAGTAATAAAGAATACTGTGAATGAAATAGATAACAAACTAGAAAGCATGGAAAGCAGAACTACCCAAGCAGAAGAAAGAATCTCAGAACTTGAGGACCAAAATATAGAACTAACCCAAACTCTCAAAAACACAGAAAACAAGCTCAAAAAGACAGAAAAAAAACCTTCAAGAGATAAGCAATTACTTCAAAAGACTGAACCTAAGAGTAATTGGCCTTCCTGAGGCACAAAGAGAGACAGAGACCATACTGGAACAAAACTTCCATGAGATCATTCAAGAAAACTTCCCTTATCTAACCAACAATGGAAAAATTCAAACACAAGAGATTCAGAGAACCCCTGCAAGACAACAAATGAGAAGAC